ACACAAGGAACTATATTAAAGGGTTGCGGCATTAAGAAGGTTGAGAACCACTGGTTTAGAACCATAGCCTCATGAAACATATGGGTCAGTTGACACAGCATACTCTATAAAGCTTATGTTCTAGAGCCTGGTTTGATAAGTAGCAGCTGGAGTCTTAGAATCTGTGAGGAGCCATCTAAGACACAACTGTTGGCCTCTGTTCATCTGGAGCAAAAGAGAAGCCGGCAGCCAACAGCTCAGTAAGAAGCTAGTTTATAGGACCAATCGCTTATGCAAACCCTACAGCGAATGACCTTCCTTTCCATTTCCTTACTCCAGGTCTTTTCACATTTCATCATAATACTTCGTCTTTTCAAGATTCCTTTTGAAATCTTCTGCTCAGCTTTTTGACTGCATTTCTTCTTTTGCTATTTTATGTCCAAAAGCACATTTCACAGCCTCCTCTGACATCCATTTAGCATTTCCTTCATGTATAATGTCACTGATGTCATCCCATAACTCATCTGGTCTTGTCATTAGTGTTCAAAGGACTAAATATATTCTTGAGATGGTTTCTAAATTCAGGTGGGGTATACTCAAAGTCATGTCTTTACACTCAGGAACTTGTTTTAATTTCTTCATCTTCAACTTGAACTTGCATATGAGCAATTGATGGTATATCGTAGAGGCCTGTGCCCTTGTTCTGATGGGTGATATAGAGCAGCTCCATTACCTCTTTCCACAGAATTTGTCCATTTGGTTCCTGTGTGTTCTGTCTGGCGCGGTCCACATGTACATTCACTGTGTATATTATTGAATAAATAGTATTTGCAATGAATATGTCATTAGTCTTGCACATTTATCCCACAGTCTTCCTTATAATGTGTATCACCAAGACCACATTTTCGAAGTGCTGATCCCTCCTTTCTGTTTCTAGTTTTCTCATCCACTCACCAGCAATAGTCTATAAAGACTATTGCACATATATATGATCAATCTCAAAATTTGTAATTTGGTAAAAAATCTTCCAGTTCTTCATTTTTAGCATTAGTAATTGAGTAAACTTGAATAATAACTGATCTGCCTTGTAGACATATGAAAATGATCACTGACAGCAGGATCCTTCAAGCTGTGTCTGGAACGGTTCTTTTTGGAAATGAATGTGACACTGTTCTTCTGTTAATCACCCCCGGCCTGGTAACCAGCTGGTTGTCTCATTCATATGGTCAATACAGCCCATGTCAGCTCACAGATACTTAGGATATTGATCTTCATGCTTTCCATTTTCATTTTTAACATCTTCCATATTTCATACATTTCTCA